AAAAACGATGATTCGTTCAACATACAACTAGTCACAGATCCCAACCTCTACCCTGATGATATACATTTCCACAGAGAATCCCATATTCTAACTGATAACTTACACTTTACTATTGATGTAACTAACAATATGGATAAAACTGACAATGCCCGTCCAGTAACATGGTGCGGTAAACCACAACGAGATGGAACTAACAAATACTGGTGCTGGGGGTCACAACGTTTCTACAAGTCACATGAAGGAACTAGACCACCGGGATATGTCTACAGCTGGGTCAACTGTCACGGTAACACCGCAAAGATAAGACCTGTCGTGTATTACACAGGGTAACTTAGATCAGCAGATACAAGAGATTAATTCGCAGAACATGAAATAATCAATGACAATACCTGAACTGTTTATGAAAACATAGAAATCATTCATCCCAGGAACTGATTGCCTGCCTGAAAATTATTTTGACACTGTCTTAAATTGAAAGGTGTAATTTAAAATAGTATGAGTACTTCTTCAATTCTAAATCCTATGTTAGCTTTTTTTTTGAATTAAGGAATTATAATGTGTACTCTAAAAAATCTTATACTGAATACTGATACATACTCTTTGTTTAAAATATTACTTTTGATTAGACATCTCATGCGTACTTTTTATTCGAAATTATCTGCGCACGTTTTTTGCGACAATATGTGGTCATTATTTTAGCATTACCACTGATCATGGTATATCCATTTTATATGTCGAGCTTATTCTATCTCTTAAAAGACAAATAACTGAAAATTTTAGCTTGGAGTTAAAAAGGCACGATTAACAGGTCATTTATAGTTCAAGTAAAGGTTGTAACTGGAATGAATTACGTCGTCAAACAAAGGGGAGGAGGTTTCCAATTTTACGACTTTGGCGACGATTGGGGAGAAAGGTTCGGCTCAAAACGACGTCGGTAGAATTAACGTCTGTTATATAAAAGTGAAATGTGACTCTGTTCTGGCGACTGATTTAACAGGCAACGTTACGCCACTGTACTTGATATTATTTTAACGATTATATAAGACACAACCGCCACCTTGGGCCATTTCTCAGTTCCTGGAAAAGTAGTTCTACTTTTCTCAGAGAATATTATTTAATTTTCCACGCTTTCAGCAGAGCAAGTGTGATTTAAGTTTTCAGCCCAACAATTAGACACGAGTTGGCAAGTTCAGGAGTAGCACCGTACAGCTGTGTTGTGCATTACCAGATAAGCACACAAATATTACCGGAGTATGTTATCTACCTGTCGAAATATGTGCGATAATTGAGATCATGGTCGGTAGAGTTGTGAGAGAAACATCTTTAGAGCGTGTCAGGACCATGGAATTACTTATTAGTGATAGATGTGGTGATGTTATTGTTAATGTACTGTAAGTGTACATAGTATTAATTAATCGACCACAATGATACTTGAGACTTGAGACAACTGATAATTTTTAGACTGGATACATAGTACTTCTGTCCTCTGTAATTTGAGCGTACCAATGAAAATTACTGGACTTGTGATAAAAAACCTTGTGACTAGCATATGACGATAACTTTGATTTTGATTCTTTACAATTCAGTACTTTTTTATTTTTTGCAGTCCCTCAAAGCACGAAATTATTTTGATTTGCATTTCCTCTTTTTAACGATTTTCTGTAATTCTTAATGATAGACGTTTTATTATTATTTAATAAATATTTTATTACGACTTTATTTCTTTTGTAATTTCTTAAGTAATAAGTAGCGCACTGTAAGTATGTGCAATAGTACCGGTGAATTTTGGGCTGGAACTTGGAATACCTGTGTATATTTAATTTTCAGCGTGTCTTGGTTATAAATACAAAGCATATGATGTGTATTGTGTGTTTACACACATAATTATTTTACAAACAAACCTCAGAAAGAGTGCACCGATGTATTATATTTGAAATCTAGTGACGCTTTCGTTCTTTTATGTTGCGTACGTATTATTTTGTTACCCGTATAGATTTGTTTGATCCTTCATTATATGTATATCGAAATTGCATCTAAACAGTAATAATCCACTGCACTTAAGATTCAGTTACGTTTATCCTATCACAATCCAGTTATTCCATTGTGACGTATTGAAAATGGAAGTTTTTCCATATAATAAAACTTAACCTTTATTTGCAATTAGCTGTGAATTGAGTAAACATCACTATCTGAAATTAAATCACTTCCAGCACTATAACACAAGAACAGGATCACATTAATCAACACAACATCTACTCACTACATTATATCACCTCTCACTTTTACATTATCATCTCCACACATTTAACCCCTCCATCCAGCAGGGATCATGCTGAACCCAGAAGCAGGCAAAGCATTTTCATGTAATCCTCTCGTGGGCCACCAGGTTGAGCCTGTCTCAAAGAAAAAGAAAAGAAAGAAAAAAAAGAAAAAGAATAGGATGGCCGCCCCAATACCGTGCATTCAAGTGCCGATGAACTTTGGGTTGGAATATCTCGGCTCCCCCTCCCACGGCAACCTCAAGTTCATTCTACAGGACGATGAACTTTTCGCTAATTCAGCAATTATGTCCTTCAACAGTCCGGTTATAAAGAAAATGACAGTAGAACTTTTCCAAACAGAAATACCAGTCGAGGACTTCTCGAAATATGCTGTAGAGTGCTTTCTAGAAGCTTCTTACTCTGGTGTTTTGGAGAAGTTGTCAAAGTCAAATTTCCGAGATCTGAATAAAATGGCCTGCGTGTTTGAGGTGGATTGGGTAGTCGAAAAGTGCTTTGAGTACTTTCAGGAATTGACTGAGTCCGTAAGAGAGGATAACTTTGAAGACCAGCTATTCTTATTTGACGAGGCCATGTTCGTTATGGATAAACGAAAAAAGAGGAGACTTATAGATATTGTCATCAAGCAATTCGCATCCTTGTCAACTTGCACTCAATATTTTGCAGCCCAATACTTGAAAGACGTCTCATCTTGTCCTAAAAAGAATCTTGAAGTGATAATAGAAATGGCAGCTGATCAGGAGCACATTCTTGTGGAAGCTCTATTGAACAACTTAGAAAACAATGAATGTACTATTGATGAGAACCGTAGATTTATACTTGAGAGATTGAACTATAAATCCTCCCTTTCTTCCTCCGTAACTCATGGTTATCAACGACTGTTCGAAAAGCTTGAGGAAATCGAAAATCCTTCGACTGAGGACTTCAGGTTAATTATGAGGGCTCTGAAACAATATAATAAAGCCCAGAAAGAGATGAACATCGCATGCACAGCTTTACCCAACAATATGGCTTTGAAAGAGACAAACACTGTCATACCACATGCAGCTTTACCCAACTTGTTTCATGACTACAAGCAGGTGAACGCGAACGAATTAAATACTCCCGTGCGAATAACAAACTTCTTGATTGAATCTCCACTGGTGGTAAACAGCTATGTTTTTTATGATGCGGTTTATAGCTGGTTTTTTGACAATGGAATTGAAGTGAATACCCCATCTGTATACATCAGCAGCTATTGTGTTGAGGTATTCTCTGATCTCATGATAAGAAGAGGCTGGAAACCTATAGATCTCAAATATATGGAAGCTAAAGGTTATCTAGGCAGTGGTGGATTAACTGATAGAATACGAAAACATCCTAATTTGGTAACTAATGAAATTATCAATCGTATTCCATCAATTTCTGAGTACACACCAGAAGAACTATTTGCACGAGATCACGACATCAAGTTCAAATACAGACAATCATCTATAACAAACTGCAGCAAGGAAGGGGATTGTGGGTTTAAACTGCGAGTAACAGCCGCAACAGGAAAATACGATGATTCGTTCAACATACAACTAGTCACAGACCCTAACCTCTACCCTGATGATATACATTTCCACAGAGAATCCCACATGTTAGCTGATAACTTACACTTTACTATTGATGTAACTAACTATATGGGTAAATCTGACAACGCCCGTCCGGTAACATGGTGCGGTAAACCACAACGAGATGGAACTAACAAATACTGGTGCTGGGGGTCACAACGTTTCTACAAGCAAGGTGAAGGAAGTAAACCACCGGGATATGTCTATGACTACCGCGGTCACTTCCACGGTAACACCGCAAAGATAAGACCTGTCGTGTATTACACAGGGTAACTTAGATCAGCAGATACAAAAGAGTAATATACAGAAATAAGCAATACCGATCTGTTTAACATTGTAATCATTTATTACAGGAACTGATTGCTTGAATGAACATTATTATAATTGACTGTCTTTAATTGAAAGGTTTTCATTTATAATTATGCGTACTTATTCAATTTTGAATCTTGTGTGATTTTTTCAAAATATCACTTTGAATTAAAAATCTCATGCGTACTTTTTATTCGAAATATATAAAATGCGTACTTTTTTTGCGCCAATGTCTGATACTTAAAAGTAATTATATTAAATATTCAGTGGTCATTAATCATTATTTTAGCATTATCACTGATGGTCATGGTATCATCTCTTAAAAGACAAGCAACTAAAATAGTAAAAGGAAAGATGACACAATTATTAAATTGGACACAACTGACTAGCTGATACAGTGTGACTGGAATCGTGAATATGGCCTCCAACTCGCAATTTTTGAGATTCAATATTGCCAATCTCACTACTCGGCCCATGTAACAACAATGTTGCCACACACTCAGCCCATGCAAGACAAGAAATGGGCCACATCACATATTTTCTACCTCTCACCGTGCTTATAATATTATCATGGAGCGGACGCGCGCGACATGACAATGTTGTGATGCGCTGCACATGTAAAGAAAAATATAACGCGGGTTCCATCAAATTACAGTTCTGATAATATTTGTCCCACCATCTCTTTTGCACCGGTACAGATATTTCAAAGCAGGACAATATTTTCCGTGTTTGTGGCAAAAAACGTGGCCGTATATCTTGAAACGCTCTCCCACTAGCCAGGCTAGAAAATTAACTGAAGACAAATTGAGACGATAAATTAAGAAATTAAAAACAACATGCATTTAAATTACAATCGTATTCCAGTAATATATATTCTTTGACACTGCCCGTCATTTGGCAATCTTAATCATTCTTTACAACTCAAAAACATCACTTTTGTACAATATAATAATCAAAACAAATCACACGTTACGCTCTCTGATTTAAATTCAGATAATATCTGAACTTCAAGCGGAGAGCAGTTTGGCGGTAAATTTAGAGTCTGTGTACTGAGAATCGGACTTATTAATACAGGACATGTTAAGTCATGCTTGAAGGGCTTGGTGGGGTTTCAACACATGTAATGTGATAGCCTTGGTAAGAGTAAACTTAGTGTTACACCAGAAAGTCGTTTGCAAAAAGATAATTTTAAAAATCCAATACACAGAGGTCCCCTCTGATTGAGATGCTGTTAAAATGTCTTATTATTGGTATTCAATCAAACCCATTAATTTTTATTAAAACGTGATCTAATACGGGTGGCCGATTATTTCCAAATTCTTCTGCTACATTTGCAGACTTAACAAGCATTCCGGCTGTATGTGCAATGCTCGACAAATAATTGGTTCCAGTATGGAGGTATTCCTCTGACGGCTAATTGGCCGAATGATCTTTGGTTATGCATCCTTGCTCTTATTCTAAAATTTATAGTTAAATCAGTGCTAGGGCGTGACATTGATAATTGTGGAACTTTTAATTGTCTCATTAACATCAATTAATTTGATTTAAAATATAAAGACTTATAAATAATAATTCGCGATACCTTAAGTAGGTACATAAATAGTGATTTGTCACATCTTAAATAAATTGAGTAAATTTTACATGCATAAAAATTTTCATGATGATGATAATAATAACACTATAACTTATTACTTTAATCAAACATTTATCAATTAAAACTCGAAGCCGCTTCCCAACAAAAAAACCTTTACCATTTAATAATTAACAACAGCACTCCAAATTGACATTTTATATTATTACGTAACTTTAATTGGTAAACGTTTTTAAGTAACTTAAAATATTATGACTCAGCAACACTTGTAAGTGTACACAAAGTATTAGTTGGTGCCGGCTTATTAAAACGATTGCTCAGCTATTGAAAAATATTCGTTACTTGAGGAAGAAATTTGGTAGAAGTTGTAAACATTAGTTGGTATAAATCTTCAAAAAAAAACCCCATTTTGATTATAAACTTATAAAGTTTGCAGTTTGCACCCTTGCCATGTTCTCAGTACCGGTTACTACTATCTACTGTACAGTACCAGTACCGGTTACTACTATCTACTGTACAGTACCAGTACCAGTTACTACTAACTACTGTACAGTACCAGTACCGGTTACTACTATCTACTGTACAGTACCAGTACCAGTTACTACTAATTACTGTACAGTACCAGTACCGGTTACTACTATCTACTGTACAGTACCAGTACCAGTTACTACTATCTACTGTACAGTACCAGTACCAGTTACTACTATCTACTGTACAGTACCAGTACCAGTTACTACTATCTACTGTACAGTACCAGTACCGGTTACTACTATCTACTGTACAGTACCAGTACCGGTTACTACTATCTACTGTACAGTACCAGTACCAGTTACTACTAACTACTGTACAGTACCAGTACCGGTTACTACTATCTACTGTACAGTACCAGTACCAGTTACTACTAATTACTGTACAGTACCAGTACCAGTTACTACTATCTACTGTACAGTACCAGTACCGGTTACTACTATCTACTGTACAGTACCAGTACCGGTTACTACTATCTACTGTACAGTACCAGTACCGGTTACTACTATCTACTGTACAGTACCAGTACCGGTTACTACTATCTACTGTACAGTACCAGTACCGGTTACTACCAACTACTGTACAGTACCGTACCAAACTCCTCTGGTATGATAAGGGGCTATTCACAAACACATGAAAGTTTGAGGGACTGCTATATGGCCTTGTTTGAGTGCATCCAACAGCCTCAGCAGTCAGCAGCAATAATACTATTCCTAAAAGCGTATTGTGCCGTATCTATCAGTGCTTGTCGTGTCAGAGTATTTGAACGCCCTGAAGTCTGTAAATACGTACAGAATTTATATCTTTATATATTTACATGTGTTTTAGGCTCCTGTTTGAAAAAACATGGATCTTGTCGATCACTCCTCACTCCTCACTCCTCACTCCTCACTCCTCACTCCTCACTCCTCACTCCTCACTCCTCACTCCTCACTCCTCACTCCTCACTCCTCACTCCTCACTCCTCACTCCTCACTCCTCACTCCTCACTCCTCACTCCTCACTCCTCACTCCTCACTCCTCACTCCTCACTCCTCACTCCTCACTCCTCACTCCTCACTCCTCACTCCTCACTCCTCACTCTTCACTCCTCACTCCTCACTCCTCACTCCCTCTCTTTACACACATGCTGACCACGCCCTCTTTTAGTGTAATACTGCATGCGTTTTGTAGTGCTGCATTGTAACTCAACTCCTGTTCGCTCTAAGTCTCATATTAATGGCTAGTGTTAAAACTCTGAAGTATGTAATATATCTTATCAGACCAATCATTAAGAAGTATTTCTTCCCCCCACTCCCGTGACTTTATAGTTTCTTATCTTTCGGGAAAACATTTGAAACAGCAAAATTCTGACACAACAAAGATCTTTAGATAATCTCATGTAAGTTTTGATCTTTCAGTTTTATTGCTTAATCCAATAAATCCAACAGGACCACGTTTGATGATACAAAATTTCAGCTCGTTTAAATAACACGCCAAGTTTGCCGTGATATAACTCAAACTAAAAGCCAATCCCATCGATTTTACGTGCAAGAAAATTGTCCAGAAATGAAGTTCCCTACGACACATATTAAAAGTTACAAAGCTTCATAGTTCACCCCTTTCTTCTTCCGCTTGAAGGTAGGTAACGAATACCTTCGCTTCAGGGGTACAGGTGATTCTGTGTCAGAGGTTATAGATTTCGAGCGGGAGCTTTTCTTTGACTTTCTGAAGGAACTGTAAAGTCGCTGCTTCCAGTTCGGTCTGTTGGGCGTGGATTGAGATGAAAACTTGTAGGCTGTCCGGCCTTCCACTGAATCTGAAATTATAACAGTTTGATAATTATAATGGCATTTTTATTAGGAATCCGACTTCTGTAGCCGTTACTTGTGTAGAGATCAGTAATTTATCATCACTTGTCTAACACAATGATTAACAATTGAAACTATTCCAACTATTCAAACCATTGGGACTAGAATGATCTGACAAAATCTCGTGTTCCTCGTTAGTTTCGATCTTGTTCTGGTACTCCTCGGCCTCCTCTGTTGCTATGACGTCATTTATGACGTCATCATCATTGTCAGGTGTCAGACACTTCTCTTTGTCTCCCTCCTCATCTGAACGGGGGAAAACTTATATTAACAATACAAATTACTCACACAAATTACTCAAAGAAGTCTCGACGACTGTAAGTTTCAAATACACTTAAAATGTTTACACGAAACAATGGCCCCATTTAAATGTACACTTCTAATCTTGATCAACACATTATAACTTGATTTATAATGACTAGTCGCAAAGTGGGATATTGTAATGATCCAAGTTACAAGTAACCAGGGTGGAGCGGAACTAGGGTAGTTACTAGGTGGTTACTAGGTGGTTACTAGGGTGGTTACTAGGGTGGTTACTGGTTACTAGGGCGGAGCGGAACAACAACTACATCTCCATGGCCGAATAGAAATTTCAGGGTATGACGCGGATGGTCGTAATGATCTCTTGCTTACCAGACTATTTTTCTATTATCTCTGTTTCAAAATGTTTTCCATTATTAATATGTGGAAAATAAATATGGCTGTACGTGATTATCTAATAGTCGAACTGCAACGGTCAGTGAAGCTGTATTATGTGCAGCCTTTTTGTAGGCGTATGGGAGACTAAAAAACGGTAAAAAGGATAATTTGTGCTGTTGCCCGTTTATAGTCCTCTTTCGTTTTGAAATTTTACACAATTTCTTCTTCAAAATTTATGGAATTTTCAAAATATGTACCACTTGTTATGGCAGAAGGAAAGTAACTGTCCACGGCCACGGCCCAGAAATGACGATGAATATTTATAAATTATACAAATGTAACTATAAATAATTACAATCCTCTCTCGAAACCATGACTTCACTCTTTAAAACAATACATTTTATTTTTAGCAAGCGGATAGCTCACTGAAGGTGCATGCAATTGGTGATCGAAATCCCCATCTCCCGTCTTCTTTTGTAAAATTCTCTCTTTGATGTGTCCTTCCTAACAATAACCACAGTGTAGTTACCGACTACAAACATGCCCATATTAGGAAGTATGTAACTAGCGTTAACAATAGAGCTGGTGGCAATGATGTCACCTACTGTAATATAGGTACTGCTGTTTTACACATTCCTTTACTTTAATGTACTGTAAGTTTGTAACAAGGGTATTACTCCAAGCAACCACATCTGACTTAAGAAGAAACTTGCAGTATTGGAAAGATAAATTAGTTATACCAGCTAATATTTAATACACTTTATAATTTATATGGATTCGGGTAAAATACGCTAATTCTGTGAGGGGCCGTTACCAAAGCACAGATCTCAGAATTTCTTAAAATATTCATTATTTACACTTACAGTGGATAATAAATATGCCCCGCAGAAACGCCACATTGATCGTTACGGATTGTATCAATAAAACACGCCTAATAGTCCAGTGTAACAACCTTGCTGCCTTACAATTGATTACAGCGTCCAGTATTAACGTCAAGTATTAACGTCATACCTCTACAACTAGGTAGAGGAGCTGAAATTTGTAGGCGTTTACTACACGTGCACTACACGTGTACTACACGTGTACTACATGCCGTGTAGGCCGCAAACTGTTTATAAAGTAGTGACGAGGGTTTGGGGTTAAAGGAAGGGAGTTTCAAGTGGTCTAGAAATATATATTTAGCCTGGATCTCAGCAGTAGTTATTATTACATGACTAAATTTAAACTAAAAACAGGGATTTGGGACTGACAGGCTGTATTTATATGTTATTATATGGGTGGAGAGTCGTTATCATCGCCAAACATAGGAATATCACTGGTATTTTGCTCCCTTAATTATGATGATTCCCTAAAGTTAACGTGTCTCAACATTGCATCAGTAATGGGTAAATAATTGGTTAATTAGTCGTAATAATTGATCAATTACCGGACTCGAGTGGGTCATATGCTGAGTTGGGGGAGCTGCTGTGTGACCTCTGAGCTGGTCGACGTCTGAAACTCTGTCTGAATCGCTGGAATAGTCCCGGCTTATCTGTAGCTGGATCTTCTGCGGAGACATTATACATTCATACATTATACAATGAAAACAGCGTGTTTTTAGATTGTATTGACAGTGGAATGAAACCATATGGAACGTATGGAATGTAAAAATAACACTTTTTGACTAGACGGAACTGGCTTTTTATCTCGCTACAATCCTTCTTCTGTACTGTCTACAGCTGTACTAGTAGTATTAGTAGTGCTGTCATCTGTTGTTTTAAAACTAAAATATTTCCACGGTCACACTCAAAGGCTGCAGTCTGTTCAAATGAGCTTAAACTTAAAATGAGCTTTAAACTTTAAAGCTGTGCCTCTAACGTCTCCTTTATGGCGATACAAAGTCAGCTGATATTACAGTACTCTAATATACTATCAGTACTCTAATGCACTCCGAGAGTGAGAGTTCCTGGAATCACATACAGTTACTGTGCTGTCGGGATTAGTACATGACTTAATAACTGATATTCTCTTACAACTTCACACATTTAAAACTTTGATGGCATTTTGCCAGGTATTGCAGGAATGTGTGAGGAGAAGCTCGGGGCTGGAGTTGCTGGGAGAGTTTGTATGTCTACTACAAACTAACTGCGGCCCAGTGTGTCTTAACCAGAAGCACTGCCATATCATGTTGATTAACGCATCGTATAACGACAACGTGCTTTTATGATTTCATATTATCATGTCAAACTAAATGCTGGAACCGAGACGAATTACTCGCATAATTTAGCAACTATTCAACACCAGACTGACGTGTAAATTAAATCATTCTTGATATGTTATTTGAGTTTCTGGTGCAGCAGATCCTCGGTTTACTACTTACTACTGAACCTCAAATCACAATGAATTAATGAGCTGGCTCTATTGAAACGCCTTTTGGTTGTATTATATGTAATATTATATCATGCGGGAATGTCTACGCACAGAAGGATTCTCACACCAAGTATATCATTATTTATAAAGGGGGTTTCACCCTCATTTCCCCTATCCCCAAAAATCCCGTTGATTTTGGGGCTGAACCCCCCTCCCCTATGTAATATCCGTACCGCACACGATTATAGGAGGACACATATTATGACATTACTATAATGGTTATCAGACAAAAAAATAAGATCTTTATTTGAGTTTATCTGGATTTTCACAGCAACAATTACTTGAAATTTACAACTGCAGCACGTACATGTGTAGGAGGTACTATAATTTGATTAGAGCTTGGGAAGGTAACTTTGCAGAGCTCGAAAGTTTGGAAATCAGCCGACTTTGTGACGGTTTTTATAGTTCATCAACGTTTTATAAAATATTAGATTTCATTCACGTTAGAAACAAGAAAATCAAATTTACTTTAAATGGAGCTATGACAACACAAATATGATTTAAGAATCATGACAGATTGCATCTCTAACAAAGCTAGAAAGTCATATATTGTAACTTGTATAAAAGAATAGCCGGAACAAACGAAACATTTTATGTGTTATGTAAGTACCGTGTTTAGAACCGAAATATTCAACTAATAATACAGCAGAGTTGTGCGGGATACAGAAGGTGGACTCATTAAGTTCTCTTTCTCTTTCTCTTTCTCTTATTCAGGTAGAGGGATTAGACGGTTAAAGGGAGGGTTGAACGGGTTTGAAACGGGCCGCCTGTATCCTCAACAACTCGATAGGAAAAAGAAAACCCATCTTTCGATTGACATCACCACATCTGAGAGCGTAATCAAACTTCACTTCATCTCCAAAGTGTTCTCCCTTTACCCAGAACTGAGGTAAAGATTTGGTCCCGGTCAACTGCTCACAGTGGTTTACATAATCCTCAATTGGGTAGATGCAGTTGGGGCAATCCCGTCGGGGACAGTCTACCTTTAAAACTCTTAGCTTGTTGCTGTAGCCACCCTTCTTACTTTCTTAGTTTATTGATAAGAAATTCGCTGCATTCGTGGGAGTCATTAGCTAGCATGAATATGTCATCCTCAGCAATAAATCTGTCGATCATCTGCGCTGCCATAATGGTATAGTTCTATTTGTTTTTAACTGCAGGGAGCACCTTGCTAAGTAACACTACAGAGAAGTAAAGAGGGTGTTAGTTATATTCAGAAACAAAACTCGTTATCAGTAAAAGTAACAGATTACTCTCTTTTGATAAAAGTTTTTCAAATATTTATATTTAATAACTATTAAGATATCATGTCTCAGGTCAAAGATGAATTTACAGTAATTAATCGCAGCATACTAATACATACTGTAATATATATACCTGACTAAACTCAAGATGAACACAAGATGAACTCAGTGCAGTAAAACAGCTGAAAACTCCGGTCATTTCCTACCGGCTACCACCCTGTGACCTTGTTGGCACACGGTCTCAAGAGGAAGTATCGTATAATACCGCTGCTAAACTAACAAACCGTCATTATCAATATCATTCATTAATGACTCTTGTACAAGCAGCCAATTTACGCAACCATTAATAGTATTTACTGAAAGATTTAGTCAATACAACATCTTCATTAAGCTTGCATGTTCAACAAGTAGGAGTGACACGAGGGTTTTGTTAGGATAAGGGCTGATTGTGGAATCCCATCCCCTCCCCCCAAAAAAGTCAGGTTTTCTAAAAGTTTCGTCTTTAACACCAAATTTCCTCCAAAATCGAAAATTTCCTCGCATATCTGGATAATGACGAATATAATAATCTGGATTGTGGATAATGACGTCATTATAATGACGTAGCTGAGCCCTGAACTAACAAGTGTGCCACAGAGTTTGTGGGGTTTCTGGAGTAGGGCTTCAAGTGCTGTGTAACACTAGTGCAGCTCCTTATCTTTTAAATACAGAGATTTGATCGACGGATTTATCTTAAAAGATCAAAGTATCCCGTATTATCTTGACAACAGCTTTCGATCGTTAGAAAAGACTAATTCTACGAAATAAAACCAATGAATCAATAAACTTTTTGCTCTTGATTTGCAGTTATTTAAATTTATCAAGCTACTGTTTACCAGATGATTTTCTCACACTGCAAGGATTACAAGTCAACTTAGCGTTAACATATTGATGTCAGACTCGAATGAAGTTAGTATTTATCTATAAATAGATTTAACAAATAAATGTAAATGATATTCTTATCAGTCGAATCGTGTAAGCAAATGTTGTACAACTTATCCCATTCATTAATTTATATAGCGAGATTATGTTAAGTATGGGTCATATTATAATATTATTACTCAGCGAATGTGATTCAGTATACAGAGCTAATAGTACAAAATAAGTTTTTGTATTAATAATATCCGGACTCAGGCAAGTGCGGTTGAATAATGATTACATTTCAAATTGTATATCAATTATATAATATATAAGATATGTAGCGACTGGCAGGAACAGTCTGCGGTGATTGCAAAGCTGCCAAATAACTACAGCTCACCGTTACAATTAGCGTTTATAATTATGTAACATAATATCATAATATTGTCAATAGCTAGATGAGTCTGATGTAGTTGTGAACAGTAATTGTTGCCTTGTCTTGTCTTGTCTTTTAAATTGTGTTTGAAAATTCCCGATGTTTTCTGAGATCAGGCTCGACTAAAGACAAAGTTTTATTAAAATCACATTCGAACGTAGAACATCGATGCCACACCCATGCGACCAAAAGTTGAGGAATAAATGGGCGAAATGGGCATCATTGTTTGGTCAAAATAAAAAAATCAAAAATTACATTTTTCTGAGACCATACTGCTGAGATATAGCTGTATTTGCTAATTAGAGGACGGCGAACACGATGGAAATATTCATTTTCGTCGTAAATATAGTTTGAGCTGTCTTTAAGGCGATGCCCAGTTCACAAAAATGTGAGGTATAAATGGGGTTGGCGTGACGTCACGGTGACGTAGTATGTTGCTACTCACTACTCATCAGTCACCCTGTCATCCGGTCTAATCAGAAAACATCCAGAACTTTCCCGTCACAAGATTAAATTTAGAAGATAAGGACCTTTAATTTCTCCAGAAATATACAAAATAATTATCATGTAAATATCACATGTAGTAAAATCATGTAGTAACAAGATGTAGTCTGCATTCTCATGTTGTAAGACAGTAGTTAAAACATACATGACGTGTGTGTAGTACAGGTAAATATATTATAAATAATCATTAATTATGCACATGATGTACAGTAATACTCATCGTCAAGTTAATATTGAACATCAGTAAAGTTATTATTAAATCACGTACTAATCACTTACTAATTACTTACTTATTGGTGTGGAGGTGGAGGATCTGTTAATCTGGATGATGGAACGTTTGAAGCGAACATTCGACCCGTCGTCTGGATCTAGCAGCATTTCATCTACCTCCTCATCATCCTTCATCTGCTTATAGATAATACTCTCCCTGGGGTTAATTACACGTGTTAAACCGATCGATTGCAAGTTCAACCTCTACACCTTTCTTGTCTTGGAAATTAGAAAACTTAATCACAAAAAGAAACATTTGCTGGAGCAATTTTGTACTAAGTGACTAAATAATTATCCTGATTAACAAGTTTTAGAGGCAGTACAGAGGCCTGGAGGAGGCTATACCTAACGACCCATTATAAGTATAATACACTGTATTCACTGGTAGTATATATATTATAATATTTTCCGGGAATTATTTCCCCGAAAAACTTGTATTTTGTTAAAAACTTGCAATATTCGATACTTTACGTCACAACTGCTACAAGTTACAAGCTGTCAATTAACATGTGATAATTGTTGGGATATTTATGCAGTATAAATTTATAATTAATGTTTGATTGAAGCTTTATATTATAAAGGAGATTTACATAAGGCATTTTTAAGCATTCCATTTTCAGATTATTAAAGATCCTCTCTGAGCCATTACAACCAATCGAAATCTAAGAGTCACATTAAAAGTTAATCCAGATTTTTATTTTAAAATTGAAGAAGACTAAAAAAAACCTCTTCTTGTTTCCAGTAAGGGACAATCGTCTAAGAATGTTACTCCCAGTCTTCCTTCTTTTCAGGAGTTGTGAGTTTGGTTTATCGGAGTCTGGTTCTCCCATCATCTTGAAGCTAAAGATATTAATTTCATGTTAAATATATTGAAACTTAACCAAATATGTACATGAAAAGGGTCCAGAAACATAGGCTATGGCTAACCACCTGGTTAGTGGTTAGTAACCATAGTAACCATCTGGTTTCTACAGGTCACGCACCCAATATTCAAAATATGACTTCTACCACTCTCGTAAGTCGTGATACTGTTACTGCGAACATTTCGAAACTATGTGCCGAATGTTTACAAGCTAATAAAAGTGTTGACAAATTTGTCATTTCGAGCTCTGGTGGAGTAGTGTGTGTTAACATTACAAGACCTCGTAAGATCACGCTTATATTAAGGTGTGGCTAATGATTCCTGTACTTTTACTGAATTACACAATCAAACTAGAGAGTCATTGCTGTTTTGGAATCAGATTAAATCACTACAACACGTAACATTATATTGAGAAAATTTCAACCTAATTCTCAGAGTAACGGAAACAATTTTGAGAAAAGAATTTGAACACAAAAAAATGTTACAAAATATTTAATAACCAAAATGTTTTATAAACCTTCGTGCCAAGTAAAGGCCCACAGACAAATAATATAATATATACCATTACGTGCTGTTTGCCAGGGAAATGTATAATTAGTGTATATTAATTTGTACTGTGTAGTACATCTAGTAGCTACTTCCTGCTCCTGGCTAATGGGCACAAAGGTACCTTTCACGTGAATTAAACAACTGACAAACACTGACAAACGTCGACAAAGCACTAACCAACTAAGTGATAATATCGACAATCCTAAAATCTTGACCAAAATAGAGCTTAACAGCTATTACTACCGAATCTTGATGATTTTAGGTTGTTTATCTCACTTCCCTGTAACATGTAAGGTTTCCTCCATCTTATAGCACGTATAGACGTCGTATGTTGGTCTAAACGGCCAACAAGTTCATTACCCTAATAGTGCAAGTATAGTAAGGTATCTCTGACGCAATAAGTTGAACACCATTACGGTATGGGACTAGAAAATTCTACATGAACATGACTGGTCACTGTTAAGTGTATTCTACAAGCATGATAGTGACTGTTGCCTGATCTTTTTCATGTCACACAGAGATTGGGAACACCCCTGCAGATTTCGTCGATTTCAGGTGCCGTCGGTACCATAAAAATTAAAAGCAAACATAAAATCGAACGCTTTCTGCGCAAAAAATTGACCTCAACAGAAAAAATTAAACATGGCTTCAAATCCAAATTTGAACCAGAGATTTTTCACTTCCTCTCGATAAACTTAATTTTCAACCCAAAATAAAGTCTCAAAGAGGTAAATTACTCAGGTCAGGATTGTAGGCAATGATTATGCCAAACCATACATTTTTGTAAATTCATTAAACTTTCAATTTAGCCTAAAACACCCTATTTCGCAAAATTTTCCGGGGGGCTGCGCCCCCCTAGCCCCCGCCAATGTGGTCCGCCCCTTACCTGGACCCCGCTGGGGGCCGCGCCCCCAGACCCCTGCCACAGCTTGCAGCTTCGCTCGCCGACAGCCCCCCCCCCCCCCCCCCAAAGAAAAATCCTGGCTACGTGCCTGAGCAAAATATAGGTTAAGGGCTTTTCAGATGATTTGGCTCCTCAACAGATACCGACGTACATAACGGTCAATATGTAGTTTAGGTTTACCTGGCCCGTAGGTTACGAATGTGCCCGAGGAGGAAAAAAAAGCAAACTTAAGAAAATTTCTCGGGAACTTAAAAGTTCACCTCAAAACGAAATCTGCACCTATGATTGGGAAATTGAAGTTCAACTATCTATATCGGGAGATTCTTTCGATCAAAAAAACGGGATATGGCGTTTTTACTATCAATAGTCCAGTTAAACCGGGTTTTAATGCAATCTGAAATTATGCAGTCTGACAATAGACAGTCTGAAGACACCAAATCACAGAAACACGACAAGAGGTACCAACAGATGGAAAATTAAAGAGTCAGCAAAACAACTAATACACTGAGCACACGATGTAAGCTGTCAGGATGTATGAAGTTACAGGACCTAGAAATGAACGATAGAGTTTCACGGTCGTGTCTGGTTACAGCCCGTGGTGCAGGAGCAACCACGAGGAGTGCCGGGTTTCAGTAGGGGAGAGTGCCGGGTTTCAGTAGGGGAGAGTGCCGGGTTTCAGTAGGGGAGAGTGCCGGGTTTCAGTAGGTGAGAGTGCCGAGTTTCAGTAGGGGAGAGTGCCGGGCTTCAGTAGGGGAGAGTGCCGGGTTTCAGTAGGGAAGAGTGCCGGGTTTCAGTAGGGGAGAGTGCCGGATTTCAGTAGGCCAGGAGGGGGGGGGGGGGGGGGGAGAGTGCCGGATTTCAGTAGGGGGGAGTGCCGGGTTTCAGTAGGGGGAGTGCCGGGTTTCAGTAGGGGGGGGGGGAGTGCCGGCTTTCAGTAGGGGGGAGTGCCGGGTTTCAGTAGGTGAGAGTGCCGAGTTTCAGTAGGGGAGAGTGCCGGGTTTCAGTAGGGGAGAGTGCCGGGTTTCAGTAGGTGAGAGTGCCGAGTTTCAGTAGGGGGGAGTGCCGGGTTTCAGTAGGGGAGAGTGCCGGGTTTCAGTAGGGGAGAGTGCCGGGTTTCAGTAGGTGAGAGTGCCGAGTTTCAGTAGGGGGGAGTGCCGGGTTTCAGTAGGGGAGAGTGCCGGGTTTCAGTAGGGGAGAGTGCCGGATTTCAGTAGGGGGGAGTGCCGGGTTTCAGTAGGTGAGAGTGCCGAGTTTCAGTAGGGGAGAGTGCCGGGTTTCAGTAGGGGAGAGTGCCGGGTTTCAGTAGGGGAGAGTGCCGGGTTTCAGTAGGGGAGAGTGCCGGGTTTCAGTAGGGAAGAGTGCCGGGTTTCAGTAGGGGAGAGTGCCGGGTTTCAGTAGGGGAGAGTACCGGGTTTCAGTAGGGGAGAGTGCCTGGTTTCAGTAGGCCAGGGGGGGGGAGAGTGCCGGGTTTCAGTAGGGGGGAGTGCCGGGTTTCAGTAGGGGGAGTGCCGGGTTTCAGTAGGGGGGGGGGAGTGCCGGGTTTCAGTAGGGGAGAGTGCCGGGTTTCAGTAGGCCAGGAGGGAGTGCCGAGTTTAGGGGAAGAGACATAAGGGGGTCCTGTAGCAGTGAAGGGGGGTGTGCTGGGTCCCCCCCCCCCGGCAGTGAAGCAAAACGTTCACTTTATCGAGCACGTAATGTTGACGGAATGTTAGCGGGGTTGACAAGTGCCAGAGGATTACTTACAAGTATGTATTATGATCTAATAGTATGACAACAGCAACTTGTTCAGAAAATGTACGTTCTATCTTAAATATTGGTTGTCTTTTCAGGAAATATTGGTTTTCAGAAGAGAATTCTAACAACTCACGCCACTAAACAATCATTTACAATGCACTACATTACTATTAGTGTCGTCTACACAATACACTAAACAAAAAAGGAGTGCAAAATGTTAAGAGCAGCTTCAGGACAACTTCCCACCAACCATTAATTCAATTTCTGCCACCGAATTAATACAGTCAGTGTTGAGCCGGAACTAGTTCCCAACCTGCACTTGGAAGACTTGATTGGTTTACAATTAATGTGGTTTTGTGTATTATAAATGTAGACGAGGTCTGCAGCGGTACGTGGACTGGGGTTAATTACTGTGAAATGTAGTTTGATATTGAACTAAGGGAAACTAAACACAGATGGATTTGATTTCTGTTGACCTGGTGGAATACAGGTATGTGACCTGACTAGATGAGAAGCCGGGGAAAAGGTCGAAAAACACGTTACGGAAAGTGAGAACATTCGAAAGAATAAAGCCTATCTAATTTTCATGTATTAATGTATTATACAATGTATCTAAATACGGAAGATGATTTGGGCGAGAATAGTTTTCATTTTAATCACAAGTCAATGTTTAACACCATATTGATACTGAAACTACATGGTAACAACTGGTTAACTGGAGGCGGTCTGTGGTGACTGCTATTCAGTGAAACAGTAATAACTGCAACTGCAACTGGTACTAAAATTCTCAGCGAAATATTCAAAACTGAAGAAAAGCCGAATTTTCAAAAAATTTTCATTATTTAAGGCACGATCGTAAATAATAAATACTGTACTCATTCTAATATGAAGTTAACAGCATGGTCAGGACATAAAAGCTTTTTGTATATGTCCCCTTAAGATGAGGTAACCGGATACCAGGAAATGGAGTCAGATAGAAACTGGATAGCAGATAGCTTAACAGGTAGTCAGTTAGGGTAAGAGAATCGAACACAGCTAAAAAATACTGATTAGAAACCAGATAAGTGATTAGAGTGAGGGTGATTCTACCTGACCTTTCGGTTTTGGAATTCGAAGTAAGGAGAATGTCTGGACATGATTATATTGTAAATCCAGCAATTACAGTCTGATTATTACCATATCGACTCAACATTTAAAATCGACTCAACATGAAAGAAAGTGCTTCACCACCAAGGTCATATGTAACATATTTTTTACAGAACTTAGAATGTTATAATATGTGAATTTGACAACAACCATACAACGATTTAAGTCAAAGATTAATCCACAAAAATATGGAGTTAAAATGTATATGGTAAAATTGCAAATATCTTGCTTTTAGAATTTGACAAGGGCCAATCCTATGCTGTAATGAGATTCTAATTCATACTTTGAGTAGTGACAAAACTACCTATCATCCTTTGCATCATCCGAGATGACTCAGCTCGAATCCAGGGTGTGAACCTAAATTATATTACATTAACTTCAAACTGTCAACAAGAATTAAAATCTTTATTTCCAAATAAGAGACCCCAAGTAAGAAGAAGAACGACCCATAAGAGCAGGAGCGGGTTCCTCCTGTACCTCTGTGACTGTTTCCCATCCTGCATCAGAATCTGAACTAGAAGGGGGGGTGTCCTCTGAATCACTGTCCCCTGGACGATCGAGGGAATGACAGAATGTTCGATAGTCACACACATCTTCTGACTCAAACAGCTGTTGGAGGTTGCTGATGAAAGCGTATGGCTCTAAAAGTT